AAATAAATCTCACTCCCTGATATTTTGTGATGTCATAATCTATTAAAACATTTATTTCATATTATTATACACAATCCCTTACGAAAATTAGCAATGGTATTACTATAGTAAAAGTATAGGAGGCTAACCATGTTTTTTTTTTGGGGGCCTTTTTATTACCAATTGTAGCCTATAACCACAGTTTTACTACAAATACCATGGTTAAACTATGGTTAGTGTAGTAAAACATGTTGTTTTTACCATTGGTTTAACTATAGAAGCCAATAACCATGTTTTTTGGTATTTCATATACATATTTTCATGTTATCTTTATGTTAAGGCATGTATTTGTGAAAATGATTAGCACACACCACACAGAATAACGCTGCGCATTTCAAGGCGCTTCAGTGGACCTTAATGTTAGCTGTTTTGTCAATGTTAAAAAATCTTTTTAATACATCAATAAGAAAGTACGACAGGCTTTTACTCGTCTTTTATCAGTTTATTAAAATTAAGCAAAACAAAACGACAAATGTTTACTTTCACAAGCCGTCTCGTATAGGCTTGTAGTAGCCTAAGCTGTCTCTTGCTCAATTAGCTAACAAAAAATGTCTGGAAACGACACCTCTGGCCATTTCTTTGGGTCGTTTGTCCAGTCACAGACACTGTACGGACAGTCCGACCCAATACGGCTCAGTTTTTATGCGTATGTTGCTCTGTCGAGCGGCAGAAATAATTTTATGTAGGCCATTCTGAGTCAACACCATGCTTTTCCAATGAGGGGGACAGGACTGTGTTTTCCTTCACGCCGACTCCGCCCACACAGCTATGACGCGACACCGATCAAGTCAATGCTGTTGTTGGAAAGACCGCCACCTCGAGGCAGAACATGCAAACGCATCCCATAATAAACCCGTTTGCCCAGGCGAGAAGCCAAATGTTTCTTGTGAAATATCTTAAAACAAGTGCACGTTTTATGGTTAAACGTTAACTGAAATAAATTAAGATAGCCTATATAAAAATTAGATAGCCTATATAAAATAATTATTTAAACTAGTTACCAAGGCAACAAACTACCTTTAAACTAAAGCTAAAACTGATAATAATAAAAAACTATATATAATTATATGAAATATATAAATAATAAAAAACATATGAAAAACTAATATAAATGAATCACACAACAAAATTACTAAAACTTTAAATAAAATCAAAATGAAAACGGAAAATCTAGAAATAAAATAAAACCAAACAAACTAATAGCCTAGTATTCGAATAAACGCAGAACGATAACGTTTCCATATATTTTCCGTTTGGTTATTTTTGGGTGTTCAATGTACACTCAACCTTCCCAGAACGTAGGCTATTTTTTTTTCTTCATGAACCTAATGATTATTGTTTATTTTTCATTTTTATAACCCAAAACTAACCTTCCCTGAACTTTTATAACCCAAAACTAACTCCCAGAAGCGGGTTATTTGCAAACTTCTTCTTCTTCTTTGGTGTTTTACTGGCGGTTGGCAAACCAGCTTATAGGTGCATTACCGCCACCGACTGGAATGGAGTGTGGATCAAGATTTATGCAATATATATGATGGGGAAAGAGGAGAAAGGGTCATATAAAACAAACAAAACATATATATATATACATACATACATACACACACATATACACACATACATACACATACACATACACACACACACACATATATTATCTATATTCTCTTTAATTCACATTATTTTATAAACCTAATAATATCATCATATATCTTGTTAGCTGATTTCCCCAATAAACCTGACGAAGAAAAGTCATGGTGTTTTACTTTCTTCATTGACTGAATAAGGCGACATCTCTCATTGTTGTATTTTACACATTGAAGTAGTACATGTTCAACTGTTTCTTGTTGATTGCAGTGTACACATTCCCCAGTTGGGTGCTTACCAATTCTATATAACGTACTATTAAGTCCAGTATGCCCCATTCTAAGGCGTGTAATGATATTGCCTTCCCTTCGATTCCTGCTCTCCTTTCTCCCAGCATCAACTGTTTTTTGTATATTATGCAAATGTCTACCCGTTCCATGGTCATCCCAATATATCTGCCAGGCAATTGGTCTGTAACTAGAAGGATCTGATGGGTTTCCCTGGTTTAAGAACGTGTTTCCATACTGAAGGAAGTTGTCCAGTATCCCAAATTTGGTTAAACAGATTTAATATTATTTCTAACGAGTTATCTGTCATGTGTGCCAACATTTTATAACATACCCCATATTTGCAAACTGCGCGACGTAATTTTTTTATTATTATTGATTTCCAACATATAATATAAAGGTACTGAACAAATATAAACTACAAAAAAGAAATATAAAATATACAGTATTATATAAATAATAATACAGGTAAAAAAATAAATAAAATAATAATAATAAAAACTAAACAGAATAAAAAACAAGTATGAGATCATCATATAAATAACAGAAAAGCTTCACAAAGAGACCTAGTGCGTTTTGCTTTACTGTTTTTCAACCCAAGTAGTAACTCAATATAATTTTTCATATCTATCTGAAATAACAAAAAGTTGGGTTTTCCTTTAGCCCATTTCTGTTTATGTATATGGTATTTGCCCATAATCAAACAAAGATGAACAATAAAGGCCACATTTGGTGGTAATCTTTGTCTAACTGCGCGACGTAATGAACAACAAGCCCCATGAGGCAGTGCGTGGCGTTCCCGTGATCCCTTGCGCCTGAGAGCGTTTGTTCCGTAGAGCTTCATCATGGCTAGCGACGGGCCGCCGGGCGCTGATTCAAATACAGATATTAACACATGGACTCACGGCGAGCTGCAGGCAAAGCTGGCCGAGTTTGGAGCACCTAACATGGGTGAGATGAAAACGTTTGAATACGAGCTCTGTGGCGGAGTTGGGCTAGGTTTATCTCTCGCTAGCTAGCGTTAGCCGCTTAGCCTGTTATGTCCCGCAAAACTTCGCGCTGAAGTGTGTCGCACGTGTAAATACGTCTTATGGGAAGCTGTATTTACATTTATTCGGGTGATTAAAACACGTAAGACTGTGAATGGCATAAGCTAAGCGTAAATGAAGTCGCTCGTGAGCGCAGTGTGAATGTTTGTGTGTTGTAACACTGAAAACTCTGATTTAAATACAGCACTTTAATTACTCACACAAAATACTCAATTAAAACCATGTTTAATTCAGTCCAGTGTTGTTTAGCATGTGTGACCCTGGACCACAAAACCAGCCATAAGGGTACATTTTTTAGATTTATACATCATCTGAAAGCTGAATAAATAAGCTTTCCATTGATGTATGGTTTGTTAGGATAGGACAATATTTGGACGAGATACAACTATCTGAAAATCTGGAATCTGAGGGTGCAAAAAAATCTAATATTGAGAAAATCATCTTTAAAGTTGTCCAAATGAAGTTCTTAGCAAAACATATTACTAATCAAAAATTAAGTTATAATATATTTACAGTAGTAAATTTACTAAATATCTTTATGGAACATGATCTTTACTTAATATCCTAATGATTTTTGGCATAAACACGACGACAGAGCGGCACAGGTGAGAGAGAGAGAGACACAGCTCTGTGTGTGAAACCTTACATCTCACTCTGATGCAGACCTCAGGCTGCGTTTACACTGGCACAAAAAATCCGATCTTTCGCTCACATCTGACACAGATCGGAAT